GGGAAAGAGAAAGACAGAAAATAACCATGAGCATCTATAAGGAAATTCTAATAAAATATAACAGGTAGTAGATATACTGTCACCAAGAGAAGATAATTAACTTAAAATGCACTTAATATCTGCATAAACAACCATGCTTCAGCAGCCTTCCATGACTTCACCACAGGACCTTGAATTACTTCACTCCAATTCTGTTTAGGCTTGTAAAATTGCTTCTTTCAACCAGCCAGTCTTTTGGCTCATGAATAGCTCCATCACACATATCACTGTACGATACCACGTTTAAAGACATTATAAAAACACTGAGTATGAGCAAACATTCTCTTACTTCACCTGTTTTCCCTGTATTTAACACAACACTCTCAGATTCTAACTCTTCCTTCTACAGTGCAACTTTAACTTAAAGCACTGCACATATGTAGCATAGGCTTTAAGTCAAAAGTACTACATGCAGTATGTCCCTCTTAATACCTGAGAATTTAACAGAGTAGAATATGTAGGCATTGTCTATAACTTCAGCTTAATTAAGACCTAAAGATACTTCACAGCAAAATTAATCTCAGGTTTTGTGCTGAGAGTAGAGGAAAAGCGCATCTATTGATAAAGCCCCACTAGAAACTAATGCCAGCTGAGATTCAGGACAGAAAGCCTGCTAAAGTTTCATTACAAAAAGGTGGGGTTTTTTAACTTGAAATTTCCAGTAGCAATATTCAGAAAAAAACCCTGAAATTAAAGAAGTGCTAGCCAACTTTCCGGAGCATCCAGGTGAATAATGACATATTAGACCAGCATATTATTAGCATGAATGTTAGATATAAATACACTTATTAGGTACTTGAATGTCTTTCTTATTTTCAAGTTGTAAACAGCATTAAACACACACACATACATATCTATAAATAAAAATTTAATTTTACTTTTACACATAAGCAGCCACTACAGTCATCAGTCAGCACTTGCATAACCATGAAAAGCAGGTATTCTTCCTGAGTTAAAATGTGACTCGTATTACGAAAAAAACAAAACAAAGCAAAAAACCAAGAAACCCCATCTTTAGTTCATCATGATGGAAGTTCTCAGTTGTATTAAAATTTCTTCTTCAAAAGGTCAAGTATCTATAACCGAAGTCTAACCAATACAATGAAATTAAGACTCCATTAATTTCCCCACTAGCTAGATTAATACATTATTTTGAGATTTCTGCCACACACACAAAATAAAACCAAACCATTAACTTTAAAAGCAGAAGAAAGGCTTACAAATAAAGAGCACATTTGTGTTCTACTTAAATGTCACAGCTTTAAACTGTGTAACACCTTTGGCTGCCTGGCCTTGAGCTAAAGGCACCGCTGGAACTCACTCAAGTGCCACCAGAAATAAACTCAGGATTTACCCATCTCTGGAAACATTTCAGTACCAGGTTGGATGGGGCTCTGAGCAAGTTAGCAGTGTCCCTGCTCACTGCAGGGGGGTTGGACTAGATGACCTCTAGGGGTCCCTTCCAACCCAAACTATTCTATGATTCTATGTTACCTACTGATAGACAGACTTATACTGTCCCATTTCTGAAGTACCACAGCATCTTTCAAATACTCTCCATCAGTATGCTATAGATTTTCTTTTTCCCAGACCATAACAGATTGAAGTGACTAAGCTTATCTGAGTGGTGAGTGGGGGGAGAACTTGGTGGAGCAAAAGGAAAGAGATTGGATGAGGCCCCCCTGGCTGACCATAAAGGTGCAAGGGGCTGGGACACATGAAGTCCTCTGATGCAAATGATTGCCCAAAGCTCCAAAGGAGAAAAATGTCCCTAATCTTCATAGCTGCAGACAAAATCAATGACATAATGAAATCAGGGTACTGCAAAGATGCACACAATCCAACTTTGATACAATTATTTGTACGACAGAAACAGAACACAAATTTTATAGGATCAGAATATCTTGTTTTAAGAGCCATCTTACAAAGACTAGAGTGCTTTTTACATTTGATGAAAACAAAAGTGAAGAGAAAAAGCCACCTGGCTTACAAGCTGCCTCCACATCAATCTACCGTGGGTCAGATTTTTTCCAAATGGTGACATAAAAGCATTGGGTATTACAGAAAATAAGATCAAGGTGAGTATGCAGACATGTCTGGAAATCTCTGGAAGTCTCTTATTCACAGATTGAAGAGCTTGCACCTACAGTCTGGTTATTCACCCAAGAACAGGCATCGTCTCTGGGACACAGTGGCCCAAGTCCTGCCTAACTGTTGACATCTAGATGAAAATATTTTAGCTTGTTTCCAAAATCACCCAGATTAAAAGAGATGACATCAGACACTACTGGTAAATAAAGCTCACCAGAAAAAAAAACAACAGTTAAGTATGTCAAGGTTTTGAAAAAGTTACCATGTTACAGTGCAGCTGGCAAAAGCCCACTTTTTTTTCTATTAAATTTCTCAGTAAATCTCAAAGCGGAAACATTGAGCTGTTCCTGCAGCAAGGCATCAACCAAACTTGGCAGAAAATGTAATGAAGTCCCTGCTTGCACTCCACCACAATGTCTGCTGGCATCAACACAACCTGCCAGAATACTTTGATGTACTGCATTTTGTTAACCAGAAGAATTTCCAAGCATGGCTATCAAGAGGTTTTCTGCATGCAGCAGTGTGTTTTACCATGAGTGGAAGATTCTTCTTGCTTAAGATGGTTTGAAAACTATAAACTTGCATTCTTTACTCTTAAGGCAAGAACAGTAGAAAGAAACACCAGTGTTGCATCTACTATTTAATGTAGCTTTTACTGTTTTCAGTTGGGACATCCGGTTAGGAAAGAAAAAGGTATCAACGTATTTCTGGCAAATCTGCAAAATAATGAGGATATCTGTTGGTTTAGTCTCAGATGGGTGCTCTAAGTCAAAGCTGACAAGCTTGTGTCAACAAGTGGTAGAAACCAAGAATTGCAGTTCAGTGCCTTAACTATTTTTCATGTGACCTTCAGCCGTGGATGTCTGATATTTTCTCATGTACTTCATCCTTGGGAGCAACAAAACAGGTAAGTTTTCCAGATTCCCTCATACTAACTGGAGCAGTCACAGTATTGCTTCTGGTTCCATTTAGCTCTATCCTTATTTTGAGGTGATAGTCCAGCATGCACGGCTATGCAGACAGTCAGCTCCTGAAGAGACGTTGCTAGAGCCTGGGAGACACTCAGCAAAGCTCTCAGCATACAGTAGGAGAGAGATTTCATACTCTCTGATCTTTTTTGACCAGGAAAAGTAGACTTCGGCTTTTGTTTAACAGTCTCCTGGCTTAAAAAAAAGCAAACTGAAGAGGATACTCTTTTTCCACCCCACCCCCCAAAAAATTTTCCTAAATATCGTATGCTTTTAAACAGAATAGACCTTAAGCAAGAGAGAACCTGAACAGATGAAGGGATATGGTGAAACGAAAAGAGTCTTCCGTGTCAAGGATTATAAACAATACGTACATTTATAAATGACATCAGGTGCCCTAGAAAATAACATGTAATAAATAAGTGTAATAGCTCAGTAAATCTTAACAACCAGGCATACTAAAATACTGATTTGTGCCCATGCATGAGACAACATATCCAGTGCTCCCAGCTCAGCAAGATCTTTGCCAATATTATCGGAATGACCAAAAAATTCTCCAAAGTTAAAAAAGTCAATGCTGGGTACCTGTTTACTCTTCAGTTATGAAGTTATGGGCTCTCTTCCTGAAGTCCTGAGATGCAAGCCTGGGGGTCTGGTGAAAGGTTTCATTTCTACTCCAAGTGTTAGCAAAACTATGTATAGCATTGCAAGTTCCCATGGTTTTTCTTCCAAGGGCACCCATTACTCAAGAAACTACAGCAGTAATCTGAACCCTACAAGTGATGAGGGCATTTGAGGGATTTTCAAAAGGTGGCTTATGGCTGTGTTTGTGAGCTGCACAAACTTATGTGCAGATCACTCATCTCAATCAAAACAAAATCTGTAAAGCACTGAAAACTTTTTGCAGCATATTTTCACTCAGTTTTTCTTCCAAAATGGTTTAATGTCACAAATACCTTGTAAGCTGACAAATGCACTCTTCAGAAAGATATAGATACATAACACCACTGGTAGATGACAGCAAAAGGGGCCCAGGTATGACCTGGACCCTTTCTATTAGCTGCATTCCTTTATCTTGCTTTCTTTTTGTTATTTGCCACTGTATTTTTTAATTTTCCTGTGTTGATACTCTTTACAACCTGTACTAAGTGTCAGCCATGTACTGACATCAGAGTTAGAAACAAAACTCCTTCTATACACTTCAGCAAGGAAGGAGAAGCCCCATAACTTAAACTCGTTTGAAGTTCCAGGCCAGTACTATAATAATTTCAGTTTACAGGGCACTATTTTAATGTACCTCAAATCGCTGTGTCTAAAATCATATTGTTTATACTACTTAAAACCCATAAAAGTTTTCTATAAAATATTAAGAGAACTTTAGAACTTATTTCTGTATGTTTATAATTAGTGTTGTAGCTAGTATTATGTAATTAAGTGAAATTTGAAGTGAGGATCTGATTCAGAAAAGTGTATCAAAGTGGGACCATCACTGTTTTATGATATTTTCCATTTATTTTATAAACTTTGTTACTGAACACCAAGTGCCACAGAATCTGAAATACAGTGTTTGTAATTCTACTGTCATTCATTCTCAGGAAATACGAGCCTGATTGACCAGGGCTGCTGGTAACTCCACTCAGTATTTTTCCAGTAGACCACCGCTGGTCCTTTTGTACACAGTAACAGAAAGTATGAGATCGGTATCTCCTCTAAAACGTACAGAACATACCAGGAGAGGGAACCACAGAGGAAATACAAATATTTAAAGATTTTTTAAATTACTGAAATTCAGAGGCACAACAATATTTACATTTTAAAAAATTACATTACTTCCCCAATATATATAAAGCAGCAGCTAATTTTCAACTGAAAGGAACAGCAAATCTTC